GTTCTCATTTATGTGCCTCACCTTCCCTCCACTTTTCAATTCTTTAACTTCTTCACTTCTGTTTAGTACATGGGGATCTGCCAGGTTCGCCACCAGCCCCCTTCGAGGCCTTCCCCAAACCTAAAATGGGCACGTGGGCCCAGCTAGTGAATAGCGCTTGTACTGGTCTTCTGAATATTTTACCATTTATTTTATGATTCTACCCCATTTTCTTATTGGTGAAATCATAAAATGTTCCAAAAATATATACCTTTGAATCACCTTCAGGGTCATCTCCTTGTGCATCTCTTTACCACTTCTAATAATGCTGTTTTTAATTTGCACTGTGGGAGTCTATTTTTTAACAGTTTAAATGAATGAAGTTCATCAGAGACCTTACTTTAACACATTCCACTGTTTTCTCTTAAATTGTATTTTAATGTTATTGATGTCAGTATTTTCCTTAATTGAATTTGTGTATGAAGCTACATTAGGTTGAATGATTCCAGTGCATGCTATGTAATACATCTATAATATCATTATGACATTTTGCCACATTTGTGAAATTGTGATCTAAAATTATGAATCTCATTTTGCAGTCCAACTTGCTAAGGGATACCCACTGCCCACAATTGGAAAGATGAAGCTTATGAACACCCAGCTTGATGTGCTGAAGGTCAGAGATACTGATAATATGTTGCCGTTGTTTTTTAAATCAATCTATTTCATGCATGTGAGCGTATTGCTTCTTGTATATGACATGAGATCTAATTAAGAAATCTTGACATTTCTAAGGAATGAGCAGATTTTTTTTAACTCAAAGCTGTGAACTGTTCCTTCTAGGACTACATCCTGATTGGGACAGATGTTCAGTTCAGCTGAACTGCACTCCTGAAAACTCCCAGGATTCTTTTCTGCATTCTGGCGTCCTTCCATGAAGACACAATTACAGTCAGAGTACGATAATCTGGTAGAAATCCCCAAGAAAACAGCTAAATAAGTATTACTTTTGACAGCAGTCAGAATATTGTGTTTTCTATGTATTGGTTCTCCTCTGAAGTTAACCATTTCTATATTTAGTGCGTATGGACTTTTTTAATATAAGTGAAATGAGTTGCCAAGGACATCATCAGCACACTCATCAGCTAAATGTCTTCTGAGCTCCAGTCTGTAGACCACTTTAGGACTGCTAGTCTTTTTGCAACTGCATACATCACTCTGTGGTTGGTAGAGATTAAAAGAATATAAATATAAACTACTTCCACATGGTTTTATGGGTGAAGCTACATGACATTAATCTTAGCAACCAGGATACAGTTGCCAAGCTAGCTGTAACCAAGCTAGCTGTAACCAAACTAGCTGTAACCAAGCTAGCTGTAACCAAGCTAGCTGCACAAATATGACATGATTCATTTGCAACAATAAGTATTTTGGCAAAGGAAAGCTAAGCTACTACTTCAGCCCTGCAGTCTGAGTTAACCTTTTTCTCTCAAGACTACATTTTGACATATAAGTCAGCTTGGAATTACTTAGTTGGGATTAGAATTGGACTGTAGAATTTACCTTAGCGTGTCAGCCGGCTAATATTAGCTAACGCTTGCTTCCCTGTTTGCTTTTTGTAAGTTACCTTACAGCATGTTCAGACATTGGCAATTTAGAGTGCTTAATAAATGACAAAGTCACATAAAAGACAATGTGTCTCCTTATGATTCAATGATCTTAAAAAATGCCACTTTATGTATCACACAGAACACCGTCAGGCATCGTTCAAACAGCTTTTAATAAACTTCCGTAGTTCAATGTTTACAAGTGAAACTTTCACAGCTTGTTGCAACAGTCCACCTGAAAGCATCCTCCATTTGTCAAAAACGTCAAACAAGTGATGAAGGAAATGTAGCAGTCTGTTCGATGTGGTATCATCCGTGTCCATCAATCAGTGACATGTTTAAGTCACGGTTGAGTTTGAGCTACATGTTCATCACGCTGGTCCTCAGGTGGAGTCCTACAGCGCACTTCTCTGGCTCTCAGGGAGCTGAGACTGAGAGCTCGACCTCTCAGGCTCTGGGAGTTGGCAGACAAGATCTAAAACAAGACAAAAGAAGACGCCAGAGAATAAAAGACTGAATACAGGAACCGTATTTATACATTTAAGATAATCAATATTCCTGAAACACTTTCCCAGTCACTTTCCTGACTGGTGACAGTGTACCCAGCATTTAAAGTTGGATCAACCAATTCTTACAGCAGAAACATTAAACCGCTGACATGATGAAACTTCATAAACACATGATATATTCACTAAAGGATCCCTTAAAACTTGGCTTTGACTATTTCATGTAGTGGCCTA